GTACACCCATGGGCAAATAGTAGACGCTAAATTAACCAATCAGAGCGCGCGCTTTGCTTTAGTTACGTTATAAATGCAGATATGAGATAAGGTCTTCCAAAAGTGGGACATTTTCATGTGGTTTAAAATGTAAAACGCAGATTGTGGACTGCAGACTGGGGTTAAAATGCAGACTGAGGACACTAAATGTAAAATGCAGACTTCAGACCAGGGGTAAAATGCAAACTGCAGACTAGATTTTCACCATTGAAAGCTAATAAACTGTAAACATGCTAACTGGAGCATTATTCAGGCTAGCCTGAGTGATATTCAGGCTAACCGGAGTGTTATTCAGCCTAACCAGAGTGATATTCAGGCTAACCAGAGTGATATTCAGGCTAACCGGAGTGATATTCAGGCTAACCAGAGTGATATTCAGGCTAACCGGAGTGCAGACTTTCACTGCGATCATGATTAGCCTGAATAATCTGTTTATGGCCAGTACTTGATAATGGAGATAACACGATGCTATACTATATGTACTCTGTAGTCTGCAGGCTGTGTTTACCCTCAGTCTCCGTTTTACCCCTGGTCTGCAGTCTGCATGAGTCCAAAGACTGTGGGGTCTTCACACAGTCATTTTGTGACAACCTTAATGATATATACATTAAGTACTAGAGATACCTATCGATAGATGCCAATGCGCAGATAATTGTGCTGTGTAGCAAAGGAATTTTTTTACACAAAGTTTCATTACATTTCATTCGGCAGCGCCCAAGTGTATTCCACCAGAAAACTTGACTTGCCACAGGGATTTTAATAGCTGGGTTTGCTGATTAAAAATGCTGGCGAGGGCTTCGTTTTTACTGTAGGAATGTACGGCTTCTTCGCTCAGCTGGCTCGTTGGCAATCAGCTCGGGTATCACGGGTAGTGAAGTCTTTAATGTCAGAAAACCATGTCACCCGTTGGAGCTAATACATATAATAGGGGATTTGAGTTGGAGTAAGAGATCAAGTACGAGATCGAAACTTTTCAATTCTAATTCGCGGGCCTCACATTATCACATCACATAACTATCTCATCCCATGAGCCACCCTCTTTGCCTAAAACGAACATGAAGACCGAGGGCTCTGGAAACATCACTGGTTTGAAATTCGAAAATCGTACTCGTACCCAATCTTGTACTCGTAGTCCAATCTAAAGCTCCCTAATGTTCAGCACGAGGAGCACCTTTAGTGCTGAGGCTATCGCTTTTACCTCAGTAAAAGAGCAAGCTTTCGAATTCGGAATCGTCCCTAAATTACATATACACGCAGGAAATAGGCAGATAATTCAAGGGAAGCATGATACTCATTTGACTCAAAACTACGACGCAACTGCAATAGCTAGATGAATGCAATGCACATTAACAGCTTCAAAATAATTCAACAAGCCGTAAAGCTAAACAACTTACCTTTACGTAGATCTGACGCAGCTTTTCTCCTAGGTCTTCGTGTAAAAGGCACGAAGTTCACGCAACGCTAATAGTCTTTCTTCTCCTCTTGGACCTTGCGTGACATTCTCGGTTCTGGCCGTATCATGACCCGATGATGAGTCGTAGTGAAAACGAAAAGGTTTACAAAGAAATTTCAACAAAATTCGTAGAAATGAATATTTTCTTTTATGTCGTGACACTGATTCAAAGGGAGGCAGAGGAGAGAGAGCCTGGAAATGAGGTTGACACAGGTACCCCTCCCACGGCTTGACGTCACTCTCGACACTTATGCGACATTGACGTTGCGTGACACTATAGACCGCATAAAGAAATTTTTTCACCCTTCAAGATGCCGCCCTATGTTTAAGGAACATAAACATTTTTACAATATCAATCTCCATGTTTGGGATATTTTGTGATACTGGGCAGCCTGTGAATAACTAGCAAAGTGTGAATTTTTTGGCTCACTGGGAAATTCAATAGGTAAATTACTGTCTTCCATATTTGGTTTGCTTACGCTTGGGGTGTAGCCATCCCAAATTCTGATCAACGTGATGTCACTCTCTTCATTCTGATCTCGCGTTGATTCAATACTCAACGGATAATCTCCCCAGAACAACAACAAAAAATGTCCAGCAAAGCCAAGACGAAGAAGACCACCAAGAAGCGAGCTCAGAGAGCCACTTCGAACGTGTTTGCAATGTTCGATCAGTCGCAAATTCAAGAATTCAAAGAGGCCTTCAACATGATCGATCAAAATCGTGACGGGTTCATTGACGCTGCAGATCTCAAAGATATGTTTGCGTCTCTTGGCAAAGACGTTACAGATGACTATGTGGATGATATGCTCAATGATGCAAATGGCGCCATTAATTTCACTATGTTTTTGACCCTCTTCGGAGAGAAATTGAACGGAACAGACCCTGAAGATGTCATAAGAAATGCATTCGCGTGCTTTGATGAAGAACAAGCGGGCAAGTTAGACGAAGATAAGTTGGTCAACTTGCTTCAAACCCTGGGCGATAGGTGAGGCTTGTTTATATTCTTTAGAGTATTTTCTTAAGTCTAAACTCAGCATGAGTTTAAAAGCACGATTTATGTCCCCTTGTGCGCATTGTAAGTTGGCTTTTGAATTAAATTGTAATGCGAAGTTCTTTCTCTGCATGTATGCGATGTTATGTGTGATTGATCACAGTTAATTAGTTGTACATTTTAAGAATGACCCGCTGGTTATCAAGATAACCATGCTACTGCCTGAACCGTCTAGTCTGCGAATGAAAATCGATCTGTTCTCTTCGTAGAATTTTAGATCTAAGCAGCAGATGCACGTTGCAATACTTTAGGGCGCTCGCTATACTGTAGGTACAATGGAACATTATTATGCTTGTTCTAAACGCCGGAACCGTCAAATATGCTGCGCCAGTGTTTGGCTGTGAAACGTACCGATCAGAAACGGAGAAACTCTGAAAATGTTGTGATCTTCATTTGATAAACATCGTGTTTTTGTATGCCGACAACTTTTTAACCCTTGAAGAATTTGTTTTGGCTTGACAAAGCGGCCTTATCGCATTCATCAACAATACAGAAATTGACTCAATTAGCACATCACCTATAAAAGCGCACAAGTTTATCTAGAGCTGTTTATCAGGTTTATATGGTAGGCCTAATCGATTCTACCAGTGTGTTCTGCTAAATATCAGTGCATAAGAGCAATTCAGACAGATAGAGACTGGGCCGTGGTTCACAAGGGGCTAAGATTCTTGGCATTCTGTCTCATAATTGCTGCCGCATACCTGAGGCGGTTGATAATTACTACATGTTACCAGATATAATTTGACTGGTCTTTTGTTCCACTACACAGATTCTCTGATCAGGAAATCGATGACATGTTACACGGAGCACCAGTAGATTCTAAAGGTCTCTTTGACTACGTCAAATTCACCAGAATTATCAAGCATGGAAAAGATGATGATTAATTAACCATACAGCTAATAAATTATCAGTTGACAAGAACTTTGTTTTCATTTTTGTGCAGTGAACTCTGTACTAGGCTTATATGAACATTGACGTATTGACTTGTTCCTTTAGGCAGTGTAACCAGTTTTTAAAAAA